GAAAGTAGGCCACTGTGGTGTGGAGCAGAGAGACAGTAAAGCTACTGTTCTGTGTCTTGCTCCACTTCTCAGGAAATGCTGAGAATCCTCTTTCTTTTGGGGAGAAGTAATGGCTGTAATACGCACCCAGCTGTCTTGGTCTGTTCATTTAGGCAGGTGTCCAAGCTTAATAAAATGCAAGTATTGGGTGAATTGGGTCCTGTCAGTAAAAACGTTGAGACAGAATGTATTAATACAGATGGAGGAACTGGAACAAATGGGTGCACAGATAAGATCTTTAGGAATACGAGGATGATAGCATTGCTATAGTTTCTCCACTGAAGAACGTTTGGCAGAACATTATGGAGGCAATTGTGATGTTCCTCTGCGCTGCAGCTCTAGTGAATAAGGATTTTTGATGGGTCAGTAGAGGTTCCAAATCTGATTTAGCAAATGCCTTTGGAAGGTCGTCTTTTTTTGGCAGAATGTTATTAATATTGAAAGATGTACTCTGTGTGCTTAGCTGCCATTGGGTCTGGGAAATCTAGCTAAGACAACTGCACAAGTTGAAGAAAGCTGAGGCCAGAAGAATGAGATCTTATGTTGTGGGTTTCTACGAGTAGTGAAGGCAAGTGGGACTGCTCTCAGTGTGGTTCACTTGACTCTTCTTGTGTAGCTCTGAAAACCCCAACTCTTGTAAGGTTGATTATTTGTTTGCAATAGGACAGGACTTAAAGCTGATGCTTCTCTATCTGTAAAGCAGACCTTGGGTTTTGTTTTCCCCTTGTCAGTCTGTGGCTAGGGTGCAAATAAAGCACTTTGAAGGAAGAAGTTAAAACGAGAAAATTTGGTGATGAGGTGAATATTGCTGTTTCTGCTGTTATTACTGAAATTCAGCAATTGATACGCAGTCTTCAGCAAGAGCTTTAAACTGATCCTGCTTTTTTTTTTCTCTCCCCACAGTTATTCCATTGGCTGACTACTATATTATTGCTGGAGTGATTTATCAGGCACCTGACTTAGGGTCTGTCATTAACTCCAGAGTTGTAAGTGTTCTGTGCATTTGATGTATATGAGTTTGTATCTGCTTTTACTTTTGGTTGTTCCTCAGGCTGTTTCAATCACCCCTTCACTCTTTCGAGGAAAGATCTTGTGTAGTATATAGTAACTTAAACCAAACCCCACTAGTTAACATGGTGTGTATCCACATGGAAATGAAAGATCCTGGGAGAGTGCAGTATGGTCTGAAAAGTAGGATACATTATTTAAGGATGAAGGATCAGAATAATTAATGCTACACAATTGGTGGAACATCATGAGGGTTCTAACAATCAAAAGAAAAATTAAATGACAAATATGTATGAAATAGTAATTAAATGCATAGTCAGCGAAGCTTGCTTTGGAATAGTGAAGTATTTCTTTTTAACTGAGGCTTATGTTTTTAAGTTAATGTGGTATTTCTTTTTAAATTGGATACTCGAGTTTGTTTTGATTTCTTCTGTTCTAGTAGACTACTACTTTTGCAAGTTTTTCTCTGATAGGAAAAGCATTTCAGAAAAGGTCATGTAAAAGCCTGTTAAAGAGATTACATTCTTGCGCCAAACCTAGATATCACAAGTTCCCTTCCCAGAACAAAAAATAGTATAGAATACTAATTTTAAAATCCCTGCTTTCAAAAATTTATACTGTATTTTCTCCTTAAATTCTGCACGCTGCCTTGTGTTCGTGTTCTGAAAGCTCACTGCAGTGCATGGAATTCAGTCTGCTTTTGAAGAAGCTATGTCCTACTGTCGCTATCACCCGTCCAAAGGCTACTGGTGGCATTTCAAAGATCAAGAAGAACGAGGTATGATTCCT